AGATTACTTTGAAACTGAAAACGAATATCACCAACAGACTCAGCATGGTGGATTACCCCCATTTTGGTCGATTTTACGACAGTTAAAAGTGTTGCGATGGGTTTCAAAATTCTCAGGAACAAGCATATTACTCATGAAGAAAATACGTTAACAGCTAGCCGTATGACATATGAAGATCGCAAAAGATGTTTCATTCTGTAGTCAAGTAGACAAGTTAACTAATCATCACTTGAGATTTCAAATTGAATGTAAAATGACAGAAAAATAAATAAAACACAAAAATTTCGTTTCAGTAGGATATGAGTACATGAGATATATTTCTAATTTTCTCGGGAAGTTTTCACTCTATAAGGCTGAAACTTTCAGGATAAGTCGAGTAATCAAACATTTATCTGTGTTATAAATATGAGCCCGAATCAAATTGCTGGGAGTAAAGAATCGAAAAAATAAGGTGTTCCGTTTATTTTGGCCACGAGGATATATTTAATATTTTAATCTTTTTCTTTAAATATTCACATAATTCTTCATTACTATATAATAATGTTAAAATCGTTGGATCAATTTTCATTGATGATAATTGTGGTGATTCTTTTAATAATTCTGATCATTTTTCTGATACAATCATTTGTTGATATTTTGAACTATCTAAATGTTTTAATTTCGATAAATTAATCATCATTTTTAAACAATGAATAATGTCAATTTATTCGGAAAAATCATTAATAACTACATCCGAACTAATTAATGTTAATGAAGTAATATTCGTAAAATCATATTGATATTTGTCTGTTATCAATTGATGAGTTAATGTAAGTTTAGTTACTGTATCGAATAGATTTGATTTATGAGAATTATTATGAAAATGTATGATGGTATTTGGTTTCATTTCAAATGTATTTGATAAATAAGCTATTGTATAGATGCATGTTGAAGATTGATCTGATAGTAATTGAGTATACCAATGATGCTGTTTAATCCAAAATTTACTTCAAAAAAAGATCATCCATTTCAAATACATTTTAATATTATTTGTTCTCTTTAATAGCCATTGTGATGATTTACGAAATATCACTTAGGTTTAACCAACAGTTCTGACAACATTAAATAAAAATATAAAGATAAGGAGATATTTTTAATTTTATTTTATCAAATGTTCACGACAGTTGGGATAATTAGTGATACTAAGTTCAATCTTTTCTAACAATTTATGAAAACCTTTTTTGAACTTTTTCTGCTGACAAAATTTTTACCTGTCCTGGAAATAGCAGAAACACATCATATTTAATTTATTTAATCAGTTAAACTATCTTCGAAAGAATTATTCAGCTACAGATTATGTAGCGTTAGGTCTAGCGAATATGGTGGATGTGGCATTATATTGATGCTTACTTTTGTCAAGTAATTAATAGCCTTGGGCGAGTTATGCAATCAACGTTGATAGTCGAGCAATTTTGTACATTTTGAACTTGATATCTCTGCTTGTCTACATATTTCTTTAACAAAAGACTGCAGACAATCTTCAATATAATACTTGTGGCCTTCTGTCTTGTCTTTATCTACGTTATGCATAAAATCAGGACTATTTGATTTAAGGAATATACGAAACAAAGCTTTAATTCAAATCTCTCCATAACATGAATAGGTCATGTGGTTTCCCAAGTAGGTAAAAATTTTGTCCGAAATAAGTTCAAAAAACAAAAGGTTTTCATAAATTGTTAGAAAAGATTGAACTTACTATTAATGATAATTCCAACTATCTTGAACATTTGACAACATAAAAGTAAAAATAGTTTCTTATCTTTATATTTTTACTTAATGTTACCAGAACTTTTGATTAATCCTAAGTATTTTAGGTTTATAAAATTGTATTATAAAAATCATAGCTCAAATCCTAACACCTAGTGTATTTGGAATGATTATTCATAATCAACAAATCATCATCGTGATTTATGTTTTATCTATAATGGAAATAGACTTCTAATTACATTATTTGGTACAGCTATTATTATTAAATCAATTTCATTTTCTTTTATTATTATTTTATTTTTGATAACATTCAAATGAACTAAAACACAACATACTTCTATCTCAAATGATGAACAACAAGCTCTTTTAAATAATTCCATTTCTTAATGATTTTAAATCAATTAAGTTTTTTCCATTATAAATCTCAGTCAAATATTCATTATGATGATCTTTTTTTTTGTAAAGAAAATATTAATCTGGATTTTTAAAATATCGAATAAAATCTTTTTTATTCATTTTATTTTGTCTATTAAATCAATTGAAAATAGAATAAACATAATCAAATTATTGATATGAACAAAGTAGTAGTTATGTTCAATAGCAAAGCTTAATTTCATCCTTGACATCAGTGATATTATCTAATCGTTTTGAGCAGCATCAATCATACAGATAGTCATTTAAGTCTTATTCGAAGTGCTTATATTCTCAATGAAATATCGCAACATTTTCTTTTAAGTATTTCTTAGCATCGTTGATAATTTTTGTATAAGCTATGTGACCAATTAGCTTTTTAATCATTTATCAAACATAGTACATCCAATTTTAAAATACTTTCTTGCAATCTAATTCTAGTCTATCTATTGATCGAAAATAAAATCACTCGAATATACACTTAAATGTCTTGTAAATATCTATTTATGATGTATTGATTTTCATTGAAGATCATTATTCAACTATAAATAAACGATATTTATATATGAACAAGAAAGAATAACTATTTACGATAATCATTAAAAATAAATAATCAAACAACAATATCTCAATAAAAATTTTCACGTCAAATTGATTTTCAGACTTTCACATGAAGTTTATCAACATTAATTACAATCAAACAAATATTATTCTTTGTGTTACATAAGAATATTATTAACATAGCACTCATTTATTAAACTCTTTTATTTCGAGCTTTTTGTTTCCAAAGACTAAAATATAACGAACAGTTTTGAAGATGCTAAATACAACAATTGTTCATACCAATCCACATCTATCAAAAAAATCCTTTCTTTGATGCTAATAGAGCGAAAGCATGTTAAGTATTCTAATCACATGATGAAGATCTTCAGTAGGGTCGAACTGATCGTCATAGTATCTGTGTTTAGTATCTTCTGATTTTCGATCAGAGATATATTTTATAAATTCACTCACTTTCAACCTTTCTAGCTAGACTATATAGCTGCTCCTTCACTCGAATAGAGAAAATTGAATCAAGCCATCTGATGAGATTCCTAAGAAAGATAGAAACGTGTCATGACTACTTCTAACATCATGGTTGTCCTGTTCACCACTTTCAATCCATTTTATAATTGTTCTTCCTATAACAGCATAAAATCAATTTTGTTTTGATCGATTTTTCAATAGTGAAATGAGTAGCATTTGAAGATTCTAGTTGCAGGCTTGAAATGTTAACATGTTGGTTGCTTTAGACTCACTCTCATACCCACATCTACACTTTCGTCATGAAGTAAAATATAATGAAGAGAGTACTCTTCTTCAACTAATAAATTGATCATCATAGTTATAGGCTCTTCTGTAAAGTTTTTTGTTCGATATTCTACTTCCTTTTCAACCTATATCATACATTGAATATATAAAGATTCGTTACACGTTGATTCAATGCTATAACGCACAATCTCACGTGTTCTCTTTTTCTACACTCATTAGTATATAACGCAGTTAGATTGTTACGAAATAATATGCAGTGATTGGTCACAAGCTGACTCACTATAATCGTGCACTATCGTACATTCTCTGTATCACACGTGTCAACACATAATAAGAGTAATTTATTACAAATCAATCATGCATATCTTGGTTGGAAAAAGAAATATATAAGATTGACTACACATGAAGGTGTCTAGTCAAACAAATTTTCACGACTATGATGTCTGAAGAATCTGAGCATCACGAAAAAGACATTTTCATCATGGAAGATAAAACTTCTGACGATCAGTCAATGCAGGAAAACGAACTCAATTTCCCTTGGCCCTTAGTTAATGCAATTAAAAATACACGTGAATTATTTGGGAAGAATTCTGATCTTTACAAGCGAAAGTACTTTAACGATCATCTGCTACTACTGATCGCATTCATTGCCTTCATTATTAGTCTTGTATTTGGTGCAGTCTTCTTGCAACATCGATATTGTGGAGGAATGCTACCCGTTTTTCTGGTTGTGCAAGGTTTATGTGGTCTCGTCATCGTTTCAGTCAAGTTTTTGGCAATAATTTTTGGGTAAACACGTTGCTATTTCTCTTGTCAGATCATTTAGAAAGACCCTGGCACGCCTGCCAGATGTACCGTATTTGTATCCGAAACCTACGCTAAGCTCACAACCTTGTACTACAAAGAGTGTTATTCGGTTTGTCCAAGCGTAACGCTGTTACATTTGAGACACTGTTCTCTTTAATTAGGTTGGAAGATTTGAGAGCTAGATGGTTCGTTCAAGCCCTATTCTATGCGGCTTATCACATTCTATTTATGCTTTAAGAGTAACATTTTTTGTCTGAAGTCTCTTACTTCTAGAAGAGTTTTATGATTGTGTAATGCTGTTACACAAAAAGACTCTTCTTCTCCAATGCCACTGATAAAACTCTAATTTCTTGTGGAAGTATTTCTCCAAGTGAAACACTTCCTAGAGATAGTTTTGTAGAGCCTCGATTGGGTCATTCTGTAGAGTATTAAATTCTGCATCGAATGATATATCCTACAGAATATTTGAAAAAAATCGCGTAGATGAGAAAGCTCAAAATACGATTTTTGAAAAGTTTGACATCTGATTTGTGATATCAAAATCTAATATTTTTAAAGAGCAAGTATCAGATTCGTAATTGGCGTTAAAACTGAACTGACTAATATTCATTCAGATTTGCCTAACTCGAAAAAAATTCTTAGAAACTCGATCAGCGAAGTGTCGCGTTACTGCATAGACAAGTCGCATTAAAAATTGCTAATTGTTCTATTGATTTATTTTAGCAAGTCAATCAATTTATTTTGCTTGATACTATTGACATCTCATCCTATTGGCCTAGTTTTTAATTAACAACTACATTCTTGAACTCCTTTTCGTCATCTTTTCTTGGCATACTATCAGGAGGTTAAAAAGATATTACTTTTTTTTTGCAATTACTAGTAGATGGGCTTCCTATCAGGAATATCTATACGAAATTTTAGACCGATGAATAAATCTATCCAGATAGACGAGGCCTCGTTTTAGAGCATTTTTACAAATCAAAACGCTCACTTTTTACTAAAAAAAGAATACCAAAAGAACAATTTATATTTTTGAAAAAGACAAACTTGTGGGTGTTATTATCCTCAAATATTCAATTTTTATCCAAAGATTTTTTTGAAAGGTAAAAAGCTTACATTTTAACACATAAGGAAATATTTTATTTATGGACTTTCTCTGACTAGGTAGAATATTTTTACATAATAAGTTGGAGAGAGAGAATATATTACTGAGACTGGGCGCTTTGTAACGAACAGAATCAGTTGTTCTGTACCAGGAATTCTAAGACAGACAAAGTTTTATATTTATCTTTTTATTCTCCTGATCAACAGAGTGGAACTTTTGCCCACAACCCATCGCTCAAACTTTTCTGACTATATATATACTACTGAAGATGTTGTTTCACTTAACGTAAAATTTTATGCGATGCTTGACGTAACGAGTTAGTGATTTATCTTGAACCTATCTTTTATCTGCTCATTTTGAAGAAGAAGTACAGCAAAGCAACACATTGAAAGTCGAATTTGCATATTAAAATACGGTTAATAAAAATATTCATATTTTAGAGAATCCACCAGAGTTCTGCGTGTAACTCAGAATTAGCGTAATTAAAATCTAAATTTATTTGGTTATAGGGAAATCTGAGACGAACCTTCAAAATATTCGATTGTTTTTCTTCATTTTGACCTATGTTAGCTTTATTATCCATAATGTATATATAAAATATCAGATCAAGGTTTCTTCATTGATTAATATCAATGGGTCGTCACTCTTTTGTAGTTGGACTCCAAGACAAATGGTACACTATTCGAAAAACGAACATCTGGCTATTAAGTGCGTCTTTGTTTGTGTGAATATTCTCACTGTGTTTTGTATCATTTGGTTCTTCATTGGTCACATTTGGATATATGACATCTTTAATGGTTGCTACTACGTGTTCAACAATGATATAATTGCTAAACCATTTACTATTGGCACTTTAATACTGCAGTATATTGTAGGACTTTGCTATTTATACAATCGTGTATTCAACAATCCATTGTTCTTATGTTGGCTTAGAAAGATCATCACACATCGCCTTGATAAATGTTCTGAAGATAGTATATATCTCAACAAAAAAATTATACTTGCCATTCAAGAAAATGTCGAAAATATTTCTATTCATCCTCAACAGATTATCAACATTTGATGAGAACAATTTGTCTTTTTTCCTAAACTGAAAGAATATTCTAACCATAACAAGCGCTTCTCTTTTCTTAGCTAGAAACATACAAGTTTTTAATTCGCTTAATAACTAGTTAGATTCAAATCCATCCATTACAGATTTAAAAACAATAAAAAAAATCTCTCTTTACATTAAATATTAATTTAAGTTCAATGGTTCACTTCTGTGGGTGTGGGTGTGACTTAATCTTCTGTTAACTCACACTCGCACTCACACTAATGTCTTAATAGTGAATGAAAATTAGTTATATAGAAACGAAGATCTATTACTTAATTAGATTTATGTTGATCTAATGAATTTCAATTCAAAATATCGATTCAAATAAGAATTTTCATCCATTTTTCTTTTTCTTTTATTAAACTTTAAAAAAATTAAATCAATCTATTAAAAATGTATCGAAATCAGCTTATTGCCACTTTGTACTCATTAGCATATTGTCTGTCTATTCTGCATTATTACATTACTTCCATTTAAACTAACTATAAAATAATCAATATGAGAACTATAAATTTCATCACTGGGTGTGGGTGTGGGTATGGGTGTGGGTGTGGGTGTGGGTGTGGGTGTGGGTGTGGGTGTGGGTGTGGGTGTGGGTGTGGGTGTGGGTGTGAATGATGGAAATACCCATACCCATACCTACACCCACA